TGTCAGAGGCACGTCTAAGACACGAGTGAGACATGTCAGAGACATGCATGAGACATGTGTGAGATGTGTCAGAGGCACGTCTGAGACACGCATGAGACATGTCAGAGACATGTATGAGACATGTCAGAGACGTGTCAGAGGCACATCTGAGACATGCGTGAGACATGGCAGAGACACATCTGAGACATGCGTGAGACATGACAGAGACATGTCTGAGACATGCGTGAGACATGGCAGACACATCTGAGACATGCGTGAGACATGTCAGAGGCACGTCTAAGACACGAGTGAGACATGTCAGAGACACGTCTGAGACATGTGTGAGATGTGTCAGAGGCACATCTGAGACACGCATGAGACATGTCAGAGACACGTGTGAGACATGTCAGAGACGTGTCAGAGGTACGTCTGAGACAAGCGTGAGACCATTCAGAGACACATCGGGGAAATGTGTGACATGTTGGAGACATGTCAGAGATGCCCTCACAGACACTGGTCCAGGTTTGTCTCCAACAGTTCTGGCTGTTTCAGATTCTGGACTCAGGTTTTTCTGTCAACACGTTGTTTTTTTCCGTCTGAACGTTTTGACAGATTAAACTCAGAATTCATCTGTGATACTGGATCCACTGGATCCACATCACTGGAACCAGTTCTGACAGGGTTCAGATTCAGAAGCTGGATCCGTGTGTGTCAAAAAGGTTCTGGCAGTTCTGACCCGACTCGGGAAGTCTCACCTGGTTCCGGAGATGCTTGATTGAGTGCTGCAAGGTCAGGATGTGGCTGAAGAGTGGACTCTGGAGAGTCTCTCTCAGGTTCCCCAGAGTCTCACTGTGGGTCCACTCCTCCCTCTGGATCAGTTTGGACTGGAGACGCTCCAGAGCTCCCAGGACCTGCTGGCGGTCCACAGAGGACACTGAGGACACACAGAGACACGTGTCTGATCCAACATGCTAACAGCAGCCATACTCATGAGTCTGAGTGTCTGTGATACAGTTTACCTGCCGGGACGTTGTCCAACATTATGTCCAACTGTCTCTGCTTCTGGATCAGTCTAAATAAAGAACACACGTTAGTCTGGACCTGACTAATTGCTGGAACTGGTCTAGGTGTAAAACAGCGGCGGGTCGGGACCTGTCTAATCTCTGGAATCTATTAGTGCATATTCATGTGACCTCGACACCTGCATGGCCCCGCCCACCTGTTCTTTTACACAAACACTTATGACGTCACAACACCGCCACTCTTTGGTCTTTCTACTGATAAATGGTCGCCTTTCATTCATGCGCATGCGCCTATGCGGACAGTTTTTTGCGCCCTGATTATCTCAGGTGAGAAAACTGCGCAGGTACCAGACAGAACCGAGCAGAACCTGGACTTAGTGAACCGGTACACACCTTATATCCACTTCAGACCACTGAAACAAGGCCGCGCGCCAACCTGAGCTCACCTGAGAAAGACCCGGAAGTGAGGTTGGGCGGCTCAGGGACGGAAGAGAAACAATCAGAGTTTCGACTGAATAAATGTCACCTGCTCCTGAACTCGGAGCCAACAGGTGAGTTCAAAAGCTTCCGGGTGAAACAGGTGCATCAAACTTTTAGCAACAAGTGAAAAACTCGTCCAGAAACACCGGGAACAGGTCTACACAGGTCCACCTCTCACCGCGAGACCTCCACACGTTGGACTTCTTCAGCCCAACAAGCTGACCAGAACTTGACCAGAACTTTTCCAGTGGACACGCCGGCTAACCTGCTAACAGCTGACCCACAGCGGCGGGAAAATAAACCCTTAAACTCGCCTGCTTCCGGTTCTAACGGACCCACCAACACGGCACGAACTCACCGACAGCTCCCCGACACCACACACTGATTTAAAACGCTTCCGAACCGGACCAGAACTCACTTTCACCGAATCCAGTTTGACACTAGTGTTGCTTTAATGTTGCGTTCAGGTGCAGCCGGAAAAACGGGCAGCGGCAGCTTCAGGGTTTGATGCGATGCGGGAACTTTCAACACTGACGATTAAAATCTGACATGTTTTATTTTTTATTTTTAGAATAAAAAATATATATATATTCCTTAAACGATTTTAACGTAAAACTTAATTGTATTTTTGTAATTCTACTTTTTTTTTTTTTGCATGAACGAGCTATTTACTAAATTTAGATTAAATTTGTTCTGATCTGAGAATCTTTCTCAACCTCCATCAGAATTCCGGTTCTGGATCACACGAACCTTCACAAACCGGGTTTACTAAAGACAAAGTGACGTCAGAACCGTTGTTTGGTTCCACCGTCTGTTGAATTGCTAAATTCCTACTACCCTGAAAGCATCACTCTGTCACGTGACGCGCTCGGCCATGGCGCTGTGGCGGCTGCTGTGTTTAAGTTCTGGGACGTTGTTCCTGCTGGTTTTCTGTCTTTATTCTCATCTTAGGCTCCTTCGGGCCGAACAGGTGGACACCTGCGATCACCTGAGGCTCGGACAATATCCTTTCAGTCACGTGAGTGAGCTCAGCTCACCTGGAGAGGTTGCCATTGCTCCGCGGATGCTGTTAGCCGTTAGCTTCAGGTCTTGTTTGAGACGCCCCGGGTCTGTGGGTCACGTGCTCTCATCCAGAAGAACTAATGTCTGTGGTGGTGTAGAAGGTTCTGCTGTGTTCTTGTCAGGAGGTTCTGAGCTCAGTTGGACTCCTTCACTCTGTTCACGTACTTGTGTAAGGACCCGAAGATCGATGAGGCCACGCAGGAGCCGGAGACCTGCCGGGACTCGACGGCGTGGGGTGAGTCCGACTCCGGTACCAGAGTCCAGTCAGGCTTTGAGACGGAACCTTCAAATGGAGTTTTTATGTGTTTTATAATGAACCCGAGGACGAACCTCTGCAGCTTCATCTGAGGACGAACCTCTGCAGCTT